AAGAGAAACTGGGAGGTAGTCTTGAATAAAATGGTGCAGGAGAATGCTTCCTGAACATAATACCAATAACACTGACATTGAGAGGGCAATTAATAAATGGTACCTCCTGAAACTGAGAAGCTTCTGTAAGGCAAAGGACACAGTCAGCAAGACAAAACAACAGCCAACAGAATGAGAAAATATCTGACAGAGGGCTGATTTCCAAAATGTGCAATGAACTCAATAAGCTAGTCACCAAAACACCAAACAATACAATTAAAAAGTGGGTTACAGAACTAAATGTAGAATTCTCAATAGAGGAGTCTAAACTGGCTAAAAGACGCTTAAGAAAGTGCTCAACATCCTTAGGTATCAGGGAAATGCAACTGAAGGCAACTCTGAAATGCCATCTTACACCTGAGAGAAAGACTAAAATCAAAAACACCAATGAAAGTCTATGCTGGAGAGGATGTGCAAAAAGAGGAACACTCCTCCATTGCTGGTGGGAGTGCAACCTGTACGAACACTCTAAAAATCAATATAGTGGTTTCTCAGGAAAATGGGAATGAGTCTACCTCAAGATCCAGCAATTCCTCTCTTGGGCATATTCCCAAGGAATGCACGTTCATACAACAAGGACATCTCTTCAACTATGTTCATAACAGTATTGTTTTTGATAGCCAGAACCTGGAAGCACCGTAGATGTCCCTCAACTGAAGAGTGGATAGATAAAATGTGTCATATATACAATGGAGTACTACTCAGTGGGGAAAAAACTGGACTCTTGAAAATCACAGGCAAATGGGTGGAACTAAAAGAAACCGTCCTGAGTGAGGTAACTCAGTCTCAAAAAAGACAAACATGGTATGTACTCACTCGTGTATAGAGTGGCATAGAGAAAGGCTTTGCCAGCCTATAATCCTCCAGAAGAACTAGGAAACAAGGATGACCCCAAGAGAAAAACTCATGATCTCCTGAAAGGAAGGGGAGGTGACAAGAACCCCTGAGCAAATTGGGAGTGGGTGGCCGAGAAGGGTGATGGAAAGCAGAGAAGGGGAGAAGAGAAAAAGGCAGGACAGAGAAGAGAAGAACTGAGACAAGGGAGGAATAGAAAAGTCATGGAAGGAGATGCCTTTATAAAGGGAGCCAGTACATGTTTGGAGAGAGGTCTGGCACAGAGGAAATGGTAGGGGATCCACAAGGATAACCACAACTAAGAATCTAGGCAGTGGTGGGAGGCTGCCTTTGAAGCCCTTCCCCTATAATGAGATTTATGACTACCTTGGGTATCATTCCTAGAGCCTTGACCCAATAGCTAATTGAAGCAGAAACAGACAACCACAGCTGAACACTGAGCCATACTCCCGGAATCCAGTTGTGGAGAGTGAGGAGAGATGACCAAATGACCCAAGAAGGAACTGGAGATACCTGCACAAACAATTGACCAGACCTAATGAGACCACGCAAACCCTAGTTGTAAAGTGGAGGAACCATCATTGGATCAAGCCAAGCCCTCTGAATGAGGGTACTAGCCAGGAAGCCAAGGCAGTCTATGAAACCTCTAACTATGGAGCCAGTGTTTATTCTTAGGTCACAAATGGACTTTGGGAGCCCTTTCCCTATGGAGGGATACTATTGCAGCCCAGATATAGAAAGGAAGGCCTGGTCCCCCGTGGAAGGTCTCACTATCCCTGGGGAGTGGCTGGTGTCTGGGTTGGGGGGGTTGGTGGGAAGCATGGGAGGATGGGGGCATGATGGAATGGGGGAATGGATATGTAAATAAGAGTGTTTCTAAAAATAAAAAATGGGTAGAAAAAAAGAATAGAGTCTCTATTGCCCTGAAGTTATTTATTACCAAAATATCTTTGATTTGGCTGTGGGTCTCCTTTCCCTCATCCCCTCTCCATGCTAGGATTTGATCTGCATTGAGCTTTTGCAGGTCTTGTACACATTATCAGGACAACTATGATTTCATATATGCAGCTTTCCTTATATCCTCCAGAAAAGTTTCCTTGAAGCCATCCACTTCCTTTGGTTCTTATACTCTTCCTACCTCAACTACTGCAATGATCCCTGAGTATTGTGAGAAAGGAATGTGACACAGTTGTCTCATTTAGGGCTGAACATCCCACAGTCTTTTATCCCCTACATCTTGACCAGTTGTGGGCCTCTGTGTCGATTCCCATCTATTATAAACAGAAGCTTCCTTAATGGGAGTTGAGAGATGCATTATCTTATGAATATAGTCATGAGGAGTTGTCTTATTTCTATGTCCAGTTAGCAATTTAGCAAAATCAGAGTAGTAGGTTCTCCCATAGGGTCTGTGGCCTGCATCGTCTCAGGCTCTTGGACTAACAATGGTGCCAGGTATGAATTTCATTTAAGTGTGGAAATTAAGTCCAACCAGAAAGGTGGCATGTCTTTGCCAGGAGATGAGTGTCTGGTATTGTGAAACTTGCCAATATAAAAGAAACTTTCAGGTGTATATCGGCTTAATCTCTTGGTGTTTCATCCATGGGAAACATTCCATTTACTGGGTTTCCTGGGCATTCACAAACGTGTCAATCCACAGCCTCGCCAAGTTCATTTCTTAAGCTATCTACTAGCAACTCAATGTACTGCTAAGTCTTTTTGTGTCTCAGAAACCTGGCTTCCTCACATGAAATGTCATTTAGTCAAACATTTCTAAGAATTAAAAGATGAAATACATAGTTTATCTGTTAACTTAATATAAAAACCTTCCTTTATATTTAAAATACCCACATTTTATTTTATGCCACCTGTTTCTGTTTAAACTATCTATAATCTATAAGAAAAAAACATAAAAATAGACATCATTTGTTGGCATTTTTGACATTTTATAGTTTTTTAACAAATAAATGAAAACATTACATGAGTGTTGGGCCAAAGAAAGGCTCAGATGTGAGGCCCAGTGTAAGCTCCTGAGCCTGACTTGAGTTTAGGGCTTGGAGGTGAGGCCCAGGGTAACCTCCTGAGCCTGGCTAGAGTTTGGTGACCTTTCTCTGACCTGTAACCTCCACGTGGGGGTGACTCTGTCAGACCTGATGTAAGATTGCCCCCTGCCTAGCTACCTGCCTGCTTGGTGGAATACTATTGGCCCTTAACTCCTCAAGTCACCTTACCCTATCCTAAGATTCCCATCCCCAACCTCAGCCCTATATGAGTTCTTACCTGTTGGAATAAACTGAGATCCTGCTTCCACAGACTCCCGACTCAGTATGTATAACTTCCCCACCCCCCAGTAACTAGTAGAGGTCTGAGTTGACACTCATCACCCCACTCAGCCCCAGGAAGAGACCAACTGGACAGGCCCTTTCCCCTCTCTACCTGCCAGAGGACCTGGCACATGAGAAGAAAAAAAAGGAAAAAAACCACATCAAAATAACAAAGAAAACAGCAATTTGAAAAAATTTATTTATTTGATTAATTACAAGAGTCATCATTTCTAAACATGCACTGTCTATCCCTAAAGATTTAAACAGCACTGGACACACAGCACATGCAATGCTTCCTTCTCTATATCCCTCTTGCACCTAAATTATTTAAGAAACATCTCACTTTATAACTTCACCTAATGTTTTTATTTACCTCTCTTTTATATCACTGGATACTAGCAACATGGAAGCATATAAAACATCGATGTTTCTTTAATATTGGCCACTTACAACTTTAAACCTCTTTCCTGAGGTAACCTGATTGCTTCAAACCTAGTAAAACATAGGTGCATGATGTCATAATAAATTTTAAAATTTGTGAGTCGAATCTGCTGTTTTAAATGATGGACAGCATATTTCATTTCCAGTAATACATAATTTATATGTCAATTCTTATACAATATTTACTAATACTTTCTATATAAAAATACATTTTAAGTGCATGCCCTAGTTTGTTTTCTCATGATGTGATAGACACCATGATCAAAAGAAACTTAGGGATGAAGGGGGCTATTGCAGCTTATCGCTCACAGTCAATAAAGAAAGGAAGTCAAGTCAGGAAATAAAGGCAGAAACTGATGCAAATGCCAAGGAAAACCAAAGCTTACTGGCTTGTTCTCTACGACTTGCTCAGCTTATTTATACAACCCAGAACCACCATCCTGGGGGTGGTACTGCCCATAGATAATTGGGCCTACCTATATGCCATCAATTAAGAAAATATAACACAGACTTGCCTACTGCCCAATTTGATGGAGGCATTTTCTCAGTTGAAATATCTTCTTCCCAGATGACCCAAGCTTGTAACAAGTTGATAAAAAAAAAAAAAACTAACCAGCACAGAATACAAAAATCATAAAGTTCTCCTTTAGGGAACATGTGTAAATATATATCCTTTATTTAGATTTTTAGTTCTGAGATGTTTGAAAGGAATTAACTGGTATAAAATTAAGGTTTGTTGTAATAATTTCTTACTTATAAGTGATCTGCATTTATACAATTTTAGCATCTATTTGTTAACATACATGTTTCATATGTTCTACAGAGTGTACCATGCTTAGATAGCATTTACTCAAAACACTTTTGCAAGTTGAAAAGATAGCATACTGTTTTATGTTTAGAAATAATTTTATTAGCTTTTAAAAATACTTCCACATTGGAAACTATGAAGGAGTTCAGAATGAAGCTAAGAAGAAAAATGATTTGGGCAACATAATGTTCATGATTTGGAAGACTGAATAGTGTTTGATGGTTGAGTCTCCAAGTTTATTTGTACACTTGAAATAATCTAATCAAAATTCATAGACTTTTTTGAAGAAATCATCAAGATGGGTCAAATTCATTTATGTAAAGGGAATATGAGGAATGTACAAAAGGAAGATGTGTTTGCAAGGTTTATGTGCCTTGAATTCAGACTATCACTCTGTAATAATTAGATACATGGGATAGAAAATGGCTTCATATGGATAGCACACACTTTTATACAATTCAGAAACCGAAAATATTTAAATACAAGAATTTCTTGTGATCCATTATTTCTCAAAGGTACACAGGATGATGACACAATTAAGTCCTGATTCTCTGCACCACAGAGTCCCTGTCTTTGTGTCTGCACCTCAGCAGCATAGAGAGAAAAGTCTTTCTCAGCTTAGTATTTCCTAGAATCAGTACACAGGGGTGCACAGATGGAAAAGCAGTTCTTGCAACCTGTGTGAAAAAAAGTATCATCCTTTTCTCCAGAAGCAGAGACCCCCAAACTTTACAACAATAGATAAAAAGAAAAGCACATACAGGAGGAGAGAGGCAATCACTGTTTGCAAGGCTCTAATGTGAGCTGTGGTGCTGGCATCTCTGCATCCATGGACACTGAGCTGCATCTTCCTCAGATGCTTCCACAAAGACAAGATGAGCAGGAGAAAAGTGATGAGGGACACAGCAAAGGGTATGAATGCAAACATGGTGTTGGCAAATAAAAACCATAGAATTGAAATATGTGTGTTGTTCAAACTCAAGCTGTAAGACATATTTACCTTATATTCAGCTATTGAGATGTTCCCAGGTACATTAATAACTACAATATTTAAAGATAAGAGAAGCAAAGACACAAACAATGTCACTGTCACCACGTTTTTAACTCTGACCTTAAAATAAAGGAAAATGGTATTGGAAAAATTGGCTATCTTGAAACAGCAAAAGATGCTGAAGCTTGTAGCTAGCCAGAGACTAAACTGGTTGAATGCTGTCCAGATGCTGTGTATTATCCCAACAAGTCTTTCATTTATCCATCTCCCTGGATAAAGCACAGATAACCACCAATTCAATAATACTAACCACAGCAGCACGATTCTGGAGATGGCTAGAGCAGTGAGGATCTGATCCACTGACGATATCTTTCTTCTCTTGCCTAAGTCCATGATGTTCACCACTGCTATGAGACCATTTCCAAAGTTGCCAATTATAAATTCCATACTCAGAATGACTGTAAATGTGATCTGCAGGGCATCATTCATCTTCTAGTGAATGTTCCAATTTCTATTGTCACTGCTTAAGATTTCTTAAGACATACTACTAAAATGCTGTGCATATTCAGTTCTCAAAACCCCATAGCATATTCTCTTGAACAACTTCCAAATATAATACGAAATGAGCCATTAAGCCTTACTAATTGCTTCACATTTTCCATCATAAAAGTCTTGTATTTTCCCAGACAGCTGTACTGAGCGTCATCTAGATGTGGCGTGCCTTACACACAGCAGCCTAGAGACATTGCAAATTTTGATGAAGGAAAAGCTTATCTGTCATTTGCTAAGATACAAATGGAGATATATTTATTTGCATCATGTTTCTCATTTTCTGCTATATATTAATCTAGTCATGATTACTGGGCAAATTACATAAAAATTCTATCCTGTATATAGGGCAGCAAAAATCTGAACTTATGCCTTGCAATTCCTTAATACCACATATCTTTAAAAACTATGTTCCAGACCTTTCACAATATGCAAATCACATCTAGCAAACTGTTCACAATCAAATAATCTTATGAAAATCGTCATTTGTCAAAAGCTCAGTACTGAGAAAATATCTATTCATCATTTGATTTTATACAAAGGTATGCACTGCCAATATTCATACACATTTGAATTCAAACCCATTTTGTTAACATATTTTTTCTCCTATGCAGCATTTATGATTCATGTAGTTCATGCATGGAACTCTGCTGCTGTGATCCCCAAATGTGCCAAGCCTTTGCACTGTGCTCCAGTCGCTTGTGGACATCGGTTGACATATAGGGAGCAGAGAAAGCCCGGAGTGAGTGATATCCTGAGTGTGTTGTTGACTCTGAGCACAGTAAGGCCAAGTATTCCAATGCCTCCACCCCAAGGGAGCAGCAAAGCTTTCCCCCAGTAAGGCTCAGTTGGACAGCAACAGCTTCCTTAGGAATCTCAACATGACTAGTGTGCACAGATGAAGCAACTACAGCGACCTCCTCCTGGATGTTTACAGCCTAACACTCCTCACCTACACAGACCTCCTACCAAGACTAGATAACTCCTTCCCTATATGGTACATAATGAACTTGCTGACATTCCATGTAGAAGTGGTAGTAGTTGTCTCCCTATCAGAAGGCACACACTGCACCTGAACCCAGTTACTTTCCCTTATCACCAGTAGTCAGTGGTACAGTAAGTACCCAACTATGAGTCATGGGAGAGGCCTCAGTGGAGAACCAGTGTTTTCATCAAAATCAGCTTTCAAAACCCTGAAAAGTGACCTAGATATTCATTATCATTGTAACACAAATGGCAGAAGTGGTAACTGAATCAAAATCATTGTAAGACTGACGATGTATTGCCTACCAAAAAGACCCCCAAATTAGTGATTTATAATTGAACTACAGGTAAAATAAGCTAGAAGATTTATTTAAGTTTCTTAACATAAAAAACTACTTTACATGCATGTGAACATTAAAATGTTGTGAAGAACATAGATTATAGCCACACATAAATGTCTACTCATATTAACATAATTACAGACTGATTTTTCATTTCATAGATTCCAAACTTAACAGAAAACTTCTCCAAAAACACATGTAAAAGATATTCAACATGCATTTATATTTACTATTTGATAAAGAAAGAATTCATGATAATGTGAGGGCAAGAAAATAAATTCCAAGGATACACTCGGTGATTTGAAGAATGTTTTGATGCACATAAATAAACAAATGTATTCTAAAATATATATAATCATCTTTTACTGAAGATTTAACATTACATATAGACTTTATCACCGTGTTCTCCTTTCTGTATCTCAACATCTGAATCTAAATATGGTAACATTTTTTATATATAATGAGATAACTTGGGAATGGGGCCTAAGTATAAACATGAAATTCATTTATGGTTCATATTATCATATATATGAGTATCATTTATAATTGTATCATATATATACATAGTATACAGGTAATCTTATGTGATGTTTTAAACAAGTCTATGCATGAAGCAAAGTTTGTAATTTTTATTTTTTTATTCTTTTAATTTTAAATAGCTTGCTTCACATGTCAATCCTACGTCCCTCTCCCTCCCCTCCTCCCGCAGCTCCCCACCATCCCCCCCAAGCCTCCCACCCTGTTGCCACTTCCTTCCACATAGGGGATATCTAGAGTCTGTCATTTCACTTAAGGCAGGGTCCAGGCACTCCCCTAAGAGTCCAGGCTGTGAGAGCATCCTTCTTTTTGTTATGGATACACGAAGTCCGCTTGTATGCTAGAGATAAACACTGATCTACTGCCCAGGGCCCCATAGGTTGCCCAGGATTTCTCATTGACTCTCACACTCAGGAGGTCTTTATCAGCCCCATGCTGGCCTCCCAGTTGTCAGTCTGGGGTCCAAGAGCTCTCCCTAGTTCAGATCAGCTGTCTCTGCTGGTTTTGCCAGCCCATTCTTTGCCAATTTGCTCATCGCTCCTCTCTCTCTGTCACTAGGTTCCATGGGTTCAGTTCAGTGTTTAACTGTGGGTGTTTGCCTCTGTTTCCATCACTCACTGGATGAAGGCTCCAGGATGTTTATAGACATCAAGTTCATTATCAGGAATGAGCATTCGAGGTGGTCTCTCCACTATTGCTTAGCTTGCCAGTCGGTGTCATCCCTTTAGATCACTAGATGTCTCACTGGTGCCAGGTCTGTCTTCTAACCTATGATTCCCTTTTCCCCCTATTCTACCCCCACTCAACCTTCTGTTCCCCCATGACCTACTCTCTCTTCCTCTTCTCCCCCTCTCTTCTTTCCAGCGTCCACTCCCCCCCACCCCTCGCCATGTTCCCAATCTGTTCAGAAGATCTTGCCTCATTCCTCTTCTCTGGGGTACCATGCATATCTCTCTTAGGTTCTTTCCTGCTTCCCAGACTCTCTGTCAGTGTAAGTGTAGACTGGCACTATCCTGTTCCATGTCTAAAATCCATATATGAGTGAGTACATACCATGTTTCTCTTTTTGTGACTTGGTTACCTCACTCAGAATGGTTTCTTCTAGTGCCATCCATTTACGTGCGAATTTCAAGATTCCATTGTTTTTTCTCTACTGAGTAATACTCCATTGTGTAAATGTACCACATTTTCTCTAGCCACTCTTTAGCTGAGTGGCATCACCCACCTATGAACACTTGATTTTTGACAAAGAAGCTAAAACTATACAATGGGAAAAAGAAAGCATCTTCAACAAATGGTGCTGGCATAACTGGGTACTGGTATGCAGAAGACTGCAGATAGATCCATGTTTATTGCCTTGTACAAAACTTAAGGACAAATGCATCAAATATCTCAACATAAATCCAACTACACTGAAACTCTTGTAAGAGAAAGTGGGAGATACTCTTCAATGAGTTGGTACAGGAGACCGCTTCCTGAACATAGCATCAGTAGCACAGACACTGAGATCGACGATTAACAAATGGGGCCTCCTGAAACTAAGAAGCTTCTATAAGGCAAAGGACACAGTCAACAAGACAAAAAGGCAGTCCACAGAATGGGAAATAATATTCACTAACCCCACATCTGCCAGAGGGCTGATCTCCAAAATTTACAAACAATTCAAGAAGCAAGTCTCCAAAACACCAAAGGATCCAATTAAAAGTTGGGGTACAGAACTAAATAGAGAATTCTCAATAGAGGAGGCTAAAATGGCCAAGAGACACTTGAGAAAGTGCTCAACATCCCTAGCCATTAGGGAAGTACAAATCAAAACATCTTTAGATAGCATCTCACTCCTGTCAGAATGGCTAAAATCAAAAACACCAAAGACAAGTTATGCTAGAGAGGATGTGGAGAGAGGGGAACACTCCTCCACTGCTAGTGGGAGTGCCAATTTGTACACCCACTTTGGAAATCAGTATGGAGATTCCTCAGGAAAATGGGAATCAATCTACCACAACGCCCAGCATTTCCACTCTTAGGCATATATCCAAAAGATGCAAATTCATACGACAAGGACATCTGTTCCATTATGTTCATAGCAGCATCATTTGTAATATAGTAACAATTTTGACCAATTTCATGAACTTATCTTTCATTTCTGACAATCAGGTAAGTCCTTGCCCCTCCTCAAGAAAAATGCTTTTTGCACCAGACAGAGACAATTGCAGAGAACCACAACCAATTAAAATGCAGATAAAGCTGTGGAGCCCAGTGCCAACTCACACTTGTACAAAACACTCCAGCACCTGTGATTCAGGGATCATCACAAGAAAAGGGGATAGAAGTGATTGCAAGAGATGGAGAAATAGTGTGTTTACTGTGAGGATGTGTCCCCTAGGAATATCAGAAGCTAAATTCATGAAGTCTCCTCAACATGATTGCCCAGACATGATTTTAACAAGGAAAATACCAATAAGCATGCTTGCATGAGTGGGTAAAATCTCACAAGGCCTAATGCCAAGACAAACAACTACAGACCACTACAGAATGGTAAAAGTTAAAGAAATAGGCACCACTGATATCAGATACAAATGGTAAGCCTCGAAAACATGTAAGTAACATCATAAAGACTGTGCAGGTTATAAACAGCCACATCCACAATGCATGCACCCATGCACATGCAGACATTTGTAGCAACAATTAACAAGAAAGGGTGCCTATGAATTTGAAAGAGAGTAAAGAGGAGTATATAAGAGGAATTGGAGGAAAGAAAGAAGAGGGAAATTATATAATAATCACAAAAAGTAATATATTTTAATTTATGTGTGTAAGTAACTAATCACATTTACCTGATAATAATAAATAAGCTCTGCAAATTCTTAATTGGAAAGTAGTAATATAGATTATTCAAATAACAATCACAGCCAGGCAAAGAGTACACACCTTTAGTTCCAGCACCTGGCAGGAAGAAACAGGAAAATTTCTATGATGATTTTACAGATAACATACTCTACATAGTAAGTTCTAGACCAAACAAGGCTATGCAGAGGGACTTCTGTCTCCAAATCCCAAGGGAAAAAATAAACATAGTCTCATTATTCTTTATATTTTTAAAAGTATATTTGTATGTATTCAGAATATTTGAATATTTACGTCTTAATTCATTTCTCATTCCTTATATAATACTTTTGCCACAGCTTCTATGTTGAAATTTTAGTAATGGACTGCTGTTTTGTGTGTGCGTGTGTGTGTGTGTGCCCGCACAAGCGCGCAGGTTTGTTTTTTCCAAGCATAACATAAACATCCATGTTCACCTTGGAATTCAGCTAACTTTGTTCTGGTACCAATGCAGTGGAAGAAGCAAAACAACACAATTATAGCAAGGTTTCTGGCAATGATGAAGAGGTTATTAATATGCCCAACTAGAAGGATGACTCTGACCAGGTATTCCAGAGGTTACTCACTCTGGCTCCCCAGCCCTTTCCACCTGCTCCACAGTAAGTGATCTTGGCTGACACTAGAACAGTTGTCCTCAGCCTTTCTAATACTGTGGCCTTTTAATACAGTTCCTCACACTGTGACCGCCAACCATAAATTATTTTCATTCTTACTTCATAACTGTAATTTTGCTGGTGTTATGGACCATATTCTGTATTGAGTATCCTGATGTGTTGAAATAAATAACTGTATTTTTAAGGGTGTAGTGTGTTTAGTTAGTTCTTATTCCAAACATTTATTTGCAAACTTTACGTCTAATGTCTCATAATACAAAAATACTGGAATCATACTTATCAAATGATTTATTTTCAATAAAACTATTTCTCCACTTTATTTTTGTGTTACTTTATGCACAATGAAAATTCAAACTGAAATTTTCCCCACAAAACTAACTGCTTTTGGATGTGACTGCTTCAGATTGCATAGTTTTTCATAATGTGCTTTTAATCTACTCTTTTTCTTTGTTTAGATTTGAGATTGTATTTTAATTACATTTCTCCATTCCCTTTACTCCTGCAAAACCTTATATATACTACTAATCACTCCCTTCAAAATCGTGACCTTATTTTCATCAGTTGTTATTGCCTGTATGCATGCATTTGTATATATATATTTCCAAATATGTCTGTTGAGTCCATATAATGTTACTTTTATGTATGTTTTCAAGAATAACCATTTGACACTGGAAAACCAGTTGGTGTGCTCTCCCTTGGGGAAGAAAATGTCTCCTGTTCCCAGCTTTACTCAGTACCTGTTGTTCATTGTGTAGGGTTGAGGCTTTGTGGATCTTTTCTTATCCAGTTTGGCATGTTCATTGTGTCCTCCTTGTTCAGCTAACATTTAGGTGGTCATGTTCATGGGACTTAATTGATCTAGCATCTGATGTTATTAGTAGGAGACATAATCTCAAAGCAAAGTCCCTGATTTTCTAAGTCTTTTGATTTTTTTGTCCCCTCTTCCATATAATTCCCTGAGGCTTGGGTATGGTAGTGTTTTCTAGATACATCCATTGGAACTGGGCTTTACATCTCTGCATTTTTATTGTTGTGTTTTTCTATAGTGATCTCCATCTGTTGCAAAAAACTAATTTCTTGATGAGGAGAGAAGACTATATTTCTCTTTGAGTATAAGACAAATGAGCATAGATTGTTGTTACAGATTATGATGATTTAGTAAACTGGTTGTTACAGATTCTCCTGCAATAACCATGATTTCATTAGCAGTTAGCTGATAAGTAGTTAGCTAGGCTTCTTGTACCAGACATGATATCTCTCTTGTTGAGAGACTCTTAAGTCCAGTTAGAGAGCAGTTGGTTACTGCCAAAACACGTGTGTCACTACTGAATCCACAGGATTATTGTGCAGTGCTGGTCATTGACATATTTCATAGGTGCCATACTGAGATAGGCCTGTTTTATCTCCATCTTTTGCAATCTTGCACAGTGGCTTCTGGTCCCTAAAAACTAGTTCTCAGGGAAGAGGATTACAGGTAAATTCTAGCTCTGAAGTTCCTGAGCCCTGTTTCTAAAGGGCCTGGTATCTTCAGCAATAGGGACTTATCTTCTACCTCTGTAACCAAAGGCAACAGCAACAGGATGTATGCTTTAGGAGTCTTTTAGACTAACCTGTCCAACAATTCAAAGGAAGACTTGTCATAGTTGGTATTGAGATTTTGTTAGGAAGTCTTTGCATCTTGAAGGGAGCACTGTCAGCCTTAATGAGAAAAGTTCATTAAAACTACTCATGTGCGCACATGCACACATACACACACATGCATGTATATATATGTATGTATATTTACTAAATTATTGGTTTTATTACATAAATAGTAAATGGCATGATTGATTATGACTTTTTCTGTCTAGATTTCTACCTAACTAGCTCCTCTTCCTGTATTTATCTCCCTCCTCCTTCCCTATAGAGCTCTCCTTTTCCCATTCCCATATCAGAGCACTTACATACTGCTATTCTCCTTTACCTTCCTCCCTCCTTCTTCTATATTTACCACCTCTCCAAGAAGTCCAACTTTTCCCATTTCCCCTATCACATCGCTTGTTTCTATGAACTAATTGATCATCCTCAAGAATATGCATAATAAGCCCTGGAACTTATTAGTGACCCAAGGTGTCAGTATCTTTGAACTGACATCTCAGCCACCACAACACAGAAAGAGTGGCTTGTCTCAGCTTACTATTTCCCAGAATCAAGACAAATGAGTGGCTTGTAGGGAAAGCTAACCCAGAAGAGTAATCAAACATAATGATCATTATCTCTCCCACCAATCCAAAGCTCGAAATTCCTATGACAATAAAAACTAAATATATTGCATATACCATCAGGAAGGAGAACCCAGTTTTCAAGGCCTTCATGTGGGCCATAGTGCCAGCATCTCTGGGTCGTTTGGCATTGACCTGCATCTTCCTAAGATGCTTATACAGGGAAAAGATGAGCAGGAGAAAAGCTACCAGGGACACAGTGAAGGGTATGAACATGAACATTGAATTTGTGGGTAAGAAAACATGGGATGAGTTGGTGACTGGGAGAACTTTTGGAAATTGTGTCAAATTCCTCAAACTATCAAAAATATTTCCTTCATGTGAATCAATCCATAAATGAATACTTCCCAGTCTAATCACAATGTTTAAAATCAAAAGGATCAGAGATACTGCCAATGTCACTAACACCACTTTTTTAACTCTCCACTTTAGGTAAAGAAAAAAAGAGTTAGAAAAATTTGCTACCTTGAGAAAATAAAAGACACTGAGGCATGTGGCAAGCCAGATGCTGAAATGGTTATTCACTACCCAGAGAATTTCAGTCACTATGAGCATTTCTAAATTTAAAAATAAATGTGGCCACAATATGGATGTCAATATGCAAATGAGCACAGACCACACCAGACTGAGTCTGGAAAAGGCCAGGGCAGTGAGAATCTGATCCACTGAAGAGATCTTTCCTCTCTTGACCCAGTCCGTGATGTTCACCAGTGCTATGAATCCATTTCCCATTGTTCCTGTTACTATGGATGTAAATAAGGCAATTGTAAAAGTAATCCATTGGCAATATGTCATTGTCTATGAGAATATGCTTTGATTTATAATATTATTGCTGCATTAAAACAAATATGTATATTGGTTATTAAAATTTGTTAATTCCATGTACACACTCCTGACTAGAAAACATCTAAAACTCCCAGGGCTTGATTAATAATTTCTTCATGAATATCTTGTGTTTCTTCCCAAAGACCCCAGTTCTGCTTCATCCAGAAATGGCATGCTTTACATTCAGCAGTTTGGAGTTTTCTGAAGTTGAGTGAAATGCTGAATTCTCATCTGCTAACATACAAACAAAGGTACATTTATTTGCATTACTTTCTTCTTTGCCTTACCAATATATTTTTAGTCACACAACATGAGTTCTGAGCAATATTTAAAAATTATAATCCATATAGGAACCTAAAAGGATATGAATTGGTATATGATACTCACTAAGATAATGATGTATAAACATATTAGTTAAATCAATGAACAGAAATTTTATTATATACACATATTATACATATGTAAATCTGTGTACACATTGCTCAAAAATCTTCATACATAGTACCCAAATTATCTCAAAATCTCTTTAGAAGTTGTTGTTGCTATACTCATATCATAGAGATTATGCTAGTCTTTTCACTTAAGTCCATATGGACAAGCACCTACACATTCACATGACATACATGCATGAGTATATATTTATTGAAATTTATGTCTTTTGTTTCCATTTCAATAAAATGTCTCAACCACCATATATCTCGCTCAAGTTTAGAAATATGACAGTTTTGCTGTATTTATTTCACTCGTTACAAAACTAATAATTAAATCTAGAGCCTGACTCAAAGTGGTGATGGTTTTTACTGACAAGTAACATCCCTAGCCACCATTTACTATTCTGAGAATGCCTCAATGAGTTGCTTAGTCTGGCCTTAAAGTCACTCTATAGTCCAGACAGGACCTGAACTTGGGATCCTCTTGAGTCAACATGTTTTCATAATGCATAGCTTCCCTCAGAGATTTTTTGATAATTTTACACAGGATTCCAAGTTACCACCACACAATATTTAGTGAAGATATCCAGCAATCCCCCATGTGCCGAATGAGGTACTTTTACGTTGTACCTGGAGCTGTCATTAAAGTAAATGAGTTCCTTTGAATAGAAAGAATCCTCCTTAATCTTGCCTCTTTCAGTTCAGTAGGTTGATTCCTTTATTAACACCAAAGGCCTGAAGCTTTCTATCTGCCATTCCTCATCTGCTGCTACCATCTACTCTGTAACCATCACTTTGGGAAGCAAGGCAGATTAAACATGATACAAATCCTGGCAAGATGGGAAGTAAAAATCATGGTACAGTAATCCTTATTTAAGGGTTTATTAAACTAAAGATAATAATATGTTACAACACAAGTCTCTAATTCTCTTATATTCTCCAGGGAAACCTGGAGAATTCATTGTGAAAGACTGACTCTATATTTTTTATACTCTCCTAAAAACATACTATGCAAAAGGGGGTCCTATATATTTTTTTTAAAACTGACAAGTACACTCCATATAGAGGAGAGATATATTGAGAATGAAATCAGGCCAGAATCTACAAATTTTAAGGAAAACATAAAAATGTAAATAAACATACCATCAGCACAGAGATGGGATGGTCCCCTGTTATCTTTCTGTCAGTACTGTAAAACACCTGAATTTATTTACTTAACCGGAAGGAATTTTTGGCTCACAGCCCAAGGTTTCAGTTCATGATCATTGGCTCCACTGTTTTGTGGTCTGTGGTAAGGCAGAACAGCCTGGCAGTAATGGAGCAGAACTGTTCATATTATGAGGTAACAAGGTAGAGAGTGAGAGAACAAAGTAGAGCTGTAGAGCTAATATCCCCTGTGAAGGCACACCTCCAGTGAATCAACTTCCTTCTCCTAAGCTCCTCCTACTTCTTAAAGATCCACTACTTCCTATATACTTCAGATTAGTGGCCTACGCTGTAATGCATAGCCTTACACGGACATATAACTCAAATATCTAATGGCTTTCCTGGCTTACCTCCTCCAGGTAATAAACATGTGCTTTAAGAAGAAAAATGCAAAGGCAAGCATAGAGCACAACTGTGTGGACTGGATGCTGATGGAAGAAGATACTGGGATTTTAGCAAAGGGCTGTACTAAGAGAAGTCTTGTACACTCAGGCCCTAGGAGCTGGTCCTGAAAGAACACTTTAATTCTGGATGGAAACTCCTTAGATTTGTACTTGAAATGCAGGTGCTGGGTAAGAACAGTCTTTTTCAAACAAGGTGAAAATGGCACCAAGTGTAATTTCCTATATAAATCAAAAAGTCAGAAAAAGTAAGTCAGCATTTTAGACGAGTAGTGTATTTGTCCATTTCAAAACCAGCATTTTAATAAAAATTAAAGTTATCTGTTAGTTTTGTGCTAGTTGTGTCATTTTGACAAGTATATACTGAATTTACCAAATATCAGTAATGTTATGAATCACACATTAATTTTCTGTATATGTTGATCTTTCTGTCTAAAGTTATAATCATCTCCTATTGATGTATTGTTACATATAATCCTTGAAAAGGCATCTATATAAAAGTCATTAGGATTGAAGAGAAATAGGTATTTTATTATTCTACATGGGTTTTCAGTTATTTTGCTTTTTAATGTACCATGTACAGCTAAAGCAAATATACAATGTTTTACAATACAAATGCATTCATATGTCTAAATACACAGAATCATAGTGAGACATGTGGGTAATCATCATATTACGCTGTGGAGATACTATGTATCTATGAACCTGTTAAATAAACTATATGGCAGCACATTAAGCAGTAAGGTGCTCAAAACTGGCTATAAATTGATTAGTTCAGCAATGGGGCTCTGCTAAGATTAGGGAGAACAGGAAACCCCAGTAAGAGGTTGTTCATTTCTACTTAGTGGACAACACTAAAACCCAGGAGATGGAAATGTCATGCAAATCTAATAGTTTTTTATTACTGTTGCATGTGTATCAAACTTCTTCTGATAAATATGTTACAAATACATCACAAGTATACCAAGGTATATTAAGCTCGGGTAGCCAAAGAACTGTGGTCAATTAGCAGATGTCAGTGCCAGGAGGACAGGATGCAAAATCATATTCTCTGGGACTAGCAGGCAAGAGGTCTTGACTGAATTGAAGACCCCAATTCAAGAAATTTTGTGGTCCTTTAAATGGAGCAGTAGTTTCTGAATATCAGGTCCCTGCCTTCAAAAGCCTTGCCTCCTGTACAACCCAAGGTAATTCTAACATATATGTGTGTTTTACCTAATCTTGAGTGTATAGCTGAAAATTACCAATTTGCAAGCTAACAAAATCTTCTCTCCCTCCTGATCTATGAAATAAAGGGAATTAGTATAGACAAGACCAAAAGATTTCAAAGCTTATGAAATACTCTAGTTCTTTAATAGCCAATAATATGCAATCATTATAGTCTCCAAGGAATGAGACTGATTGTTGCAACAGTATTGAAAATTATAGGAAACAACATCAAATTCTTTTCATAGTAATATTGGGTTAACACATTTGGATGCTGACATAACCAGATGAAATACAAGATAAATGCAGACTGTCATACATTTGCATTACCCAGGAAGATGCTTTTCAGTTATAGTCTCTGAGCAGACATCACCTCTGATCTTCTGTATGTGCTTCTAAGTATATGAATGTCTCTTAGTACATGTTCTGTCTCAAGCACCTCATCACAATTACCATGGGTTTCTAAGTAAAGCAAAACATGTCACTGCTTTACATAGGCTGTATCACTTGAGTTGGCAAGGCTTTTGACTGTTTTCAGTGATTTTAATCTCAGAGATTGAACCCAGAACTTCATGCATGTTAGGCACACACTCAGAGCTGCACCTCTAGAAGCCTGCACTGTTTTACAGATCATAACATTATTTTCAGAATATTCAGAATATTAATTATATAATAATCTTATTATCAGAAAGTAGAAATTCCTAAAATAACAGAAAATATAAAATAAGATCCAAATTCATAACAGGAGAGTTACAACAGATTCCACTGGAATCCAGAAGAAAATGTAGAAAACTTATACTCCAAAAAGTGGGAAAATCTCAAATAATAGTTCTTAGTCTTCCTAATTTACCATTTAATATAGTTCCTTATATTGTAGTGACCCCCAGTCATAAAATTATTTTGTTGCTACTTCAAACTCTAATTTTGATGCTATTATGAATTTTAATGTAAATATCTGACATGCAAAATATCTGATATGTGACCCCCAAAAGGGTCACAATCCAGAGATTGAGAAAAACTGATCTAGAAGAGGAGAATAAAAGCCTAGAAACATGACTTTCCAAACTAAAACAGTAAGCTATAAAAGAATATATCTACCTCAAGATCCAGCAATTCCACTCTTAGGCATATACCCAAAGGATGCACATTCATACAGTAAGGACATCTGTTCAACATGTTCATGGCAGCATTATTTGTAATAGCCAGAACCTGGAAGCAACCTAGATGCCCCTCAACCGAAGATTGGATACAGAAAATGTGGTATATTTACAAAATATAGTACTATACAGCAGGGAAAAAATGCAATCTTGAAATATGCAGTCAAATGGATAGAACCAGAAGAAACCATCCTAAGTGAGGTAACCCAGTCACAGACAAACATGGTATGTACTCACTCATATATGGATATTAGACATAGACAAAGGATTACCAGCCTCCAATCCACACTTCCAGAGAAGCTAAGAAACAAGGAGGAACCTAAAAGAAACATACATGCTCGCCCAGTGAAGCAGAAAGGGGCACTTGCTTGAACAAATTGAGAGCATGGGGGAAGTGTGGAGGGAGTTAGGAGGAAGAAGAAAGGAGGAGAGGAGTGGAGAGGAGACCATGAGGGATCAGGAAGACTGAGTAGGGAAAGGAATGGAGGAGAGCAAGAAAAGAGATATGTCAATAGAGGTAGCCACTATATGTTTAAAAGAAATTGGGCACTAGGGAATTGTACCGGGAT